CTGTGGAACGTCTGCAGCCAAATGCTTGAAAACAACTCAGCATAAGCATCAGTGGACACTGGTTTCACAGGTGCTGGAAGGAATGCAACAATGTATGTGACATCCCTAAGCTAATTACCTCTGCCTGGGTTCTTTATGCACAAACCCTTCATCGGCTGTGGCTCTATCTCAGCCTTGTGGCTAGTGGATATGTGAATGTGGGCTAATAAGCAAGCTTGTTTAATAGAAGCAAATAGTCTGCTGTGGAAAAATAGAAGTGGCTCTGAAATCAGTGAAAAATAGTAAAGTTGAAATCATTTAATGAAGAATTTTAGGGCTTAATAGATTTTTAATGTTTTCTATAAATAATGGGAAACCCATAGTAGACTTATTTTTTAGATTTTGAAAAAGATTTGTTACAACAAATTCCCCATAAAATAATGTCTAGATTCTGAGACATTACTATTAATAGTAAGATTTACCTCAAAGAATAAATCAGTATAAGCATTAATTACCTCAAATGCAAATACAAATGAGGTAACATTTTCCAAATACCAACTTAGTAATCATCTTTTTCTTTATTGTGGAAAAATATACATAAAATTTACCACTTTAGCCATTTTTAAATGTACAGTTCAGTGGCATTAAGTACATACAAAGTTTTGTGCAATCATTACCATAATCCATTTCTAGAACTCTTTTTTAAATTAGATAAATTTATTAACAGAAATTTTCCCAGAAGAAAAATACTAGATTGTTTCACTGTAGTATTTTACCAAAATTTTCAGGAAAAATAATACTAATCTTTCAATTAAATTTTGAAAAACTCTTTTATTAAAAATAAAAATGGAACACTTACAAACTTATTTTATCTGGTCATCATAAGCCTGTTTTTAAAACCAGACAAACACATTATAGAGAATAAAACTGCAAACCAATGTTCTTCATGAACGTAGGTACAAAAATCCATAGCAAAGTATTGGCAAGTCAAACGCAGCAAAACAGAAATGTTTTACTACATGAGAAAGAAGAGCTGTTCATCCCAGGAATGCAAGATTAATTTAACACTTAAAAATCAGTCATTGTTATACAACTAATAATGCAAGGTAAATGCAGTCTTCTTCCTTTTTTCTTGTATCTGTACGATGTAAATGTCCAGGGCATAAGGGTTGTCTTTCATTTGTTGTATAGTGGTGGATGCTGTCATCTTTCAATAAAACAGAGATATTTTGATTTCCATCATTTTCTAATTTGCAGACATATATATTAAATACAGAATAAATAGAAATGAATTTTTCAAGTTCATAAAAAAATCAGTCATTGTAAATTATAATTTATTTTTATAGAGTTAGCTTTGGGGGGATTATTTTTTATTCAATTGTAGTTGCTGTGCAATATTATATATTACAGATGTACAACATCCTGATTCACTATTTTTAATGATTTCACTCCATTTATAATTATTATAAAACACTGACTATATCCCTGTGTTGTACAATATATCCTTGTGGCTTATTTTATACCTAATTTTATACCCAATAGTTTATACTCCTTAATTCCCTATCCCTATATTGCCCCTCCTCACTCCCTCTCTCCACTGGTAACCACTAGTTTGTTCTCTATATCTGTAGGCCTGCTTCTTTTTCTGTTATATTCACTAGTCTGTTAGATGTTTCAGATTCCACATATAAGTGATATCATACAGCACTTGTCTTTCTGTCTGACTTATTTCACTTAGCATAATGCCCTCCAAGTCCATCCATGTAGCTGCAAATGGCAAATTTTCATTTTTAATGATTGAGTAGTATTCCATTGTGCATATGTGTGTGTGCATATATATTTATGTGTGTGTGTACAGATATATATATACACACACACACATACCCCACATTTTCTTTATCCATTCATCAGTTGATGGACCCTTACGTTGCTTCCATATCTTGGCAATTATAAATAATGTTGCTATCCTCGCCCACATTTGTTAATTATGTTCTTTTTGATGATAGCCATTCTGACAGGTATGAGGTGATATCTCATTGTGGTTTTGATTTGCATGATTAACAATGTTGAGCATCTTTTCATATGCCTGTTGGCCATCTGCATTTTTTCTTTAGAAAAATGTGTATCATGGAACAGAATAGAGAGCCCAGAAATGAACCCACAAACTTTTGGTCAACTTATCTTCGACAAAGGAGGCAAGAATATACAATGGAATAAAGACAGTCTCTTCAGCAAATGGTGTTGGGAAAACTGGACAGCAGCATGTAAAACAATGAAGCTAGAAAACTCCCTTACACCATATACAAAAATCAACTCAAAATGGATTAAAGACTTAAACATAAGACAAGATACAATAAACCTCCTAGAGGAAAACATAGGCAAAACATTATCTGACATACATTTCAAAAATTTTCTCCTAGAAGAAATAAAAGCAAGAATAAACAAATTGGACCTAATGAAACTTACAAGCTTCTGCAGAGCAAAGGAAACCAGAAATAAAACAAGAAGAAAACCTACGGAATGGGAGAAAATTTTTGCAAGTGAAACCAATAAAGGCTTGATCTCCAGAATATACAAGCAGCTCATATGACAGAATAAGAAAAAAAAATAAACAAACCAATCCAAAAATGGGCAGAAGACATAAACAAGCAATTCTCCAAGGAAGACATACAAATGATCAAAAAGCACATGAAAAAATGCTCAATATCACTAATTATCAG